GCCCCCGCACCGCCGCCCCTCCCGGCGCACGCCGGCCGCGCCCACTGCACCAGCGCCCCCTCCCCGCTGCACCCAGCGCTCGCGGCTGCAGTTCCAGACCCTGTACCTGCTCCTCCGGCTCCGCGCGAGGGCCATGGCGGCGGCGGTGACAGCCCCTGGTGTCTCGGAGCCTTTGTTCCTCGCGGGGCAGCCTGGCCCTAGTCGCCCCTGCAGGCAGTGGCGGGTGCCTGGAGCCCCCAGGCCTGGGAGCAAACACTCCCACCGAAGGCAAAGGTGTCAGCTATCGACTCCCCTCGGTGATGGAGGCGCTGTCCAGCGGAGGGCTCCTTGGTGATGCTGTCACTGGGTGAAATAGGGACGGGGGTTTGGATCGTGACATTGTCCGGGAGGGAAGCCAAGCACGTTTGGGGTTGCAGACAGGGATTGAGGGGTGCTGTTGAAGCCATTTGTGAGGAGTGGAGGTACCAATTTGCTGTCTCCCGATGGTGCCTTGGTGGTCACACAGCTGGTGGTCAGGTAGGACCCCCACAGGAGCAGGCCGGAGGTGCAGGCTTCTTGGGGAACAGGGGCGAACACAGTAAAGAGGTCCCCCCAGGAAACCTGGCCATTTGTCTAGTGCTCCCACTCCTGGCAGGGGCAGGCTGTTGCACGTGGGAAATCCTTTGGATGGAGTCCAGGGGCAAAGTGGGCACCCGCAGGCTTTGGGAAGAGGACTTTTGCTGGGGAGAGCCTCCTGCCCTGGTCAGCCAGGCAGAAGGCCACTGTGGGGATCCAGAGCTTGGGGGAGGGGGTCTGCTCCTCTCCCTTGGCATGTTTTGGTGTCCATGGTGCCTGGAGCTGTCCACCCTGATCTGTGAGTGCCAAGCACCTGGGGGTCTCAGCTTCCTGTCTGCACACCCATGTGGAAGCTTCTGGAGGAAAGGGCTTGGCCAGGAGCCATCTCTGCAGTCTCCTTGGGAGGGCTCCAGGGTGCCGTCACGGGCAGCTGCCCACGTAGACCAGGATAAATGAGGCCGTGTCCGGCATCAGATGGTGACCCTGTCAGAGGGCAGTCTTGGCTACAGCGTGTGCTGACCGCGAGGACCATGGGTGGGGGGCTCATGCCCAGAGGCACAGGGTTGGAGCCGCGGGGGCAGCAGGGTCTGGCCTAGGAGGTGTCTAAGCCGCGGCTGGTAGGGGTCTTGCCGAGAAACAGCCTGGGGTGACCCCATGTGGTCTGAATATGGAGGGAAGAGAACCAGAGGGCAGCCGGGTGGCTGGGAATCAGGAACCACACTTGGAGTCTAAAGAGATGGGTGGAAACAAACCTGCCATGAATAACACCCCACCCCCACCCCCAAAAAACCCCAAAACCTGGGAGTATCAGAAAAGGGAAGTATCCCAAAGACGAGGGAGAGAAAGTTCTAGAAGGATGGGGTAGAACAGATTCAGCCAAGGGATCAAGAAAGAAAAAAAATCAAGGGACAGGTTTCGGCCCAGCAGGAGGCAGCGTGAGAGCTGGACCTGTACAGAGGGAGGGGTCTTTGGGGGGATGGCTCCTGGGTCTGGGAAGGAGGGCTTCTGCGGACTCACTCTTCAGCCTGACGGCCAGGCGGTGGGGACGGCCAGGCGGTGGGGACGGCCAGGCGGTGGGGAGGTAGACACGCCCGCACACACTTCAGGGCTGAGTTGAGAAGCGGGTGGAGACTTGGCCAGACAAGTCAGACACAGGTCACTGTCATCCATGGCACCCAGCCCTCTCCAGACAGCTGCCCCCACTGCCACAGCTTGTGTTCCTGCAGGTTCAGGGCTGCCTTGGGGACAGACATCCAGATTCGCCCCCGGGTCAGGGTCTGGCTGGGCCAGGGCTCAGCAGGACGGAAGCCTTCTGCGCAGCGGGCCTCAGGGGTGGCCTGGCCCAGCCTGCCCGGGGCCCTCAGGCCGGCGCCCAGGCTCTGGCTCCGTGTCTTCACTCCCGTGTTGTCCGAGGAGGGAGGGAGGGACGGGGGCTGTGCTAGGGCGGCCGGAACATCGCAGGTCACCGGGCCGGCTGGGCGAGGTGGCCGGGCAGGGCCAGGGCTGCAGAGGAGGCTACAGGGAGGGCCCTGCTCCCGATGGCCGGCCAGCCATGCCGAGGAGACCCTCCCAGAACCAGTGCGGGATGGGGGAGCACCAGTGCTCCTGGGCTCCAGTGGCCTGGCCTCACCTCTGCATCCACCTCCTCCTGGCTGCAGGTTGGGTGGGAGGGGGTCCACTGGGACCCCAGCATTCGAGAGGGAGAGCACAGCAGTCTGGTTTCCTCCTGGCAGCCCCAGTCCTTGGGCCACTGACCTGTCTTGGCCCAGCCTGAAGGTGCTGGCCTGCCTACCTGCAGCACATGCCTAGCAGCGGGTCCGGGTGCCCTGGTACAGCTGAGCCCGGGGTGTAGACTTAAGGCCCCTGCTGACACCTGCAGCCTCCTGCCCGAGGCACGGCCCGGCCCTCAGGGTGGACTCCCCCAGGTGCGCTCCCCACCCCTCCTGTGGAGGGGGACATTCTTGCCCAGCTGAGGCAGCGGAGCTCAAGACCGCCCCCTCAAGTATACATGACCCGTCCTCACACAGTCCCATGGCGGTGTCCCTTGTCTGCCGAGCCCAGACGGCCATGGCCATGGGTGTGGGGCAGCTGCGGTTTCTGCAGACTGCGTCGGGAAGGCGCAGGCCCCGCTGAGTCAGGGTCAGTCAGACTGCAAGAGTGGAGGGCGGCCCTGGGTGCGGACGGAGATTCTGTGCCTCATCCTTCCCACCTGAGCTGGAAGGGGACGGGGGCCCTGTCCACCAGGCTCTGGCAGGGTGGACCTGGGGCCCCAACAGGCTCCCACAGGCCCCTGCCTGAAAGGCCTGGCAGCAGCTCAGACGCCTGTCCCCCCAGCAGGCCTCTGGCTTAGCAGGGTGTGGCCAGAGTGGTCACCTAGCTCCTGGCCCTGTCTGCCCATCAGTCCTGTCCCTCCTCAGGTGGGAGCTTGGTGGCATGCCGTGTCCTGGGATGTGGCCCCTTCAAGGAGCAGGCACCCAGGTGGGGTGAAGGAGGGTGTCAGCAGGGGGCACAGGATGGGGGCCTGGGGGCAGCACTGCTCTCGTGGTCAGCACGTGCTTCTTCCCGCGTCCAGCCTCCTCCGAAACACCCACCTACAATCGCCCCCTTTCTCTTGAGACCTGCTTGAACCGGGGGTGTCCCTGAACAAGGACCCCACTTCTCCTGTTCTCCTGCCAGCCTTGCTCCCCCTCAGCTCTCGGCTGTGGGACGGAGGCTCCCTGGGGGCTGTGCTGAAGGAGGAGCCGTCGTCCACACCCCAGGTGGGCTCTCCTGGCCCCTCTGCCCCCACCAGGCAGCCTGGCACCTGCAGCTCGTATCCATGCTGGGTCCAGGGCAGAGGCCACAGCAGGACCCCAGACGGTCTGGTCCCTCCACTTTCAGCTTCCCCTGGGTGCTGAAGAGCCCTGTGCCGCGTGCGCTTGACGCCCGGGCTCTGCAGGGTGAATTCAGCCTGACCGCAGACGCCCCACTCCAGCCCCAGCTGGCTTGGGGGGAGGCAGCGGCCCCAGGTCCTGCAGGTGGCCTGAGCCCTCTTGTGGCTGGCTAGAGGCTAGTGGACCTCTCTGTCCACACCCGAGGCTCAGGTCCCGGCCGGCAGACCTCTGGGCCCACCTCCCAGCAGAGCTGCACCTCCCCGTGACCCCTCTGGGTCACCTTGATGCCCTCTGCCTACTGAGGGACGGGCAGCTGTGAGCTTCCCACCCTCGAACTTGGGTCCCCAGACCCCTCCCCACTCCCTCCTGGACACAGAGGTTGGCCTGTTCCTCCCATGTCTTCCCATGACCCCACTCCGCAGGGGTCAAAGCCACATAAGGCTGGCCCCAGCCACCCTCCAGCACTCCTCCACTGCCTGTGGGCGCTCCCCATTCCCACTGGCCCTCCCTGCACCCTGACCCAGGAGGGCACCAGGGGAGCCCCACCAGGTGGTAGTGTGGCTTGGTGGACAGGCCCAGGGTCCCCTGGAACAGAGTGGCCCAGCGGGTGTGGGTCTGAGCAGCTCGGTCTCCTCCCGAGGCCAGGAACCTTGGTCCTGGTCTGTACAGCAAGGTCCTTTAACACTGGATCTTGGGGCCACGCACTTGTCCCTGGTTTTAAACAGCCGCACGTGCACCGTGGGCTCTGTGGGGCCAAAGCCTGCCCTTGTCCCCCAGGCGGTTGGCGGTCATGCTGTGTGGCACCGTCCCGATGGTGCTGCTGGAAGCCGACGCCCAGCCGAGCAGGGTACTGGGTACCCAGAGGGCCCTGCCAGGGCGGCCGCCCGTCCCCTCCACAGCCCGCACCCAGGTGCTGTGGGGTGTGTGCCTCACTGGGCACTCCACGAGTTCTGGTCTGCCATCCTGTCCAGGAGAGCCCTGGGCAGCCTCGGCCCCTTGTCGCCCTCACGCCACGTTCCCCACAGGGGAGCACCTGCGGATCTGCCCCCAGGGCTACACCTGCTGCACCAGCGAGATGGAGGAGAACCTGGCCAACCGCAGCCGCACGGAGCTGGAGACGGCGCTTCGCGACAGCAGCCGGGCCCTGCAGGCCACACTGGCCACCCAGCTGCACGGCATTGACGGTGAGTCTAGGGCTGGGGACAGTCTAGGGTTGGCGGCATGCTCCTTCAGGCCGGGCCTGAGCCAGGGGACCTGGCAGGAGGAGGGAGGCAGAATGAGCACCTCGGAGCTGGGACTTGGGTATTGCTGTCAGAAGAGGGCTGCTCTCGGGTGGGGCCTGAGTGGGGGACAGACAGGGCTGGACTCGTTGGTGGCGATGTGGACCCCACCTGCAGCCTCATCTCTGTGCTGGATCATGACACTCAGAGCAGTTACAGACCTTAAGCTGTACTTCTAGAGAGGACGGGGACTCTCCAGGCCCCATCCTGGGCACATGGGGTACAAGGGCATTTCCCCAAACTGTGGGGTCTGCAGTCCATGCTGGTACCTGTGCCCCCACCCTGCCAGGATGTGTCCATCGGAGGCACATGAGGCCTGTGGGGCCCAACCAGCCTCTGCAGCCTGGCATCTGGCTCTGATGACCACAAGGGCAGTGTCTCCCCGCTGGGCCCTCTTGTCCCCATGGGCTGCCAGGGTGTTCGGGTGATTGGACAGAGAGCAGGACCTCTGAAGGCCGCCCTGCGCTGTGTGCAGGTCACTTCCAGAGCCTGCTGAATGAGTCGGAGCGCACGCTGCAGGAGGCCTTCCCGGACGCCTTCGGGGGGCTGTACACGCAGAATGCCCGGGCCTTCCGGGACCTGTACGCCGAGCTGCGCCTCTACTACCGCGGAGCCAACCTGCACCTGGAGGAGACGCTGGCCGAGTTCTGGGCCCGCCTGCTGGAGCGCCTCTTCAGACAGCTGCACCCCCAGCTGCTGCTGCCCGACGACTACCTGGACTGCCTGGGCAAGCAGGCCGAGGCGCTGCGGCCCTTCGGGGAGTCCCCGCGGGAGCTGCGCCTGCGGGCCACGCGGGCCTTCGTGGCGGCACGCTCCTTCGTGCAGGGTCTGGGCGTGGCCAGCGACGTGGTCCGGAAGGTGGCCCAGGTACACACGTGGCTAAATGTCCCCGTGCCCTGCCCCAGACTCGGCCCCTGGCAGCTCTGCCCTGTCAGCTGTGTCCCCAGGCGTGAGCTCCACTCTGGGCCAAGGGCTCTGGCCAGCCCACTTGCTGCCCAGTCCTGTCTTGGGCCAGGCTACGCCCTGGGCAGCAGGGGAAGGGCCGGAGGCCTAGGGCTAAGGCTGGGCCTGGCTGGGGGCTCGGGATCCACTGGGGGTCTGACACAGGTGGGGCTCTGAGGCCTAGCCAGGCCCCCCTGGAAGGGCAGGGGCTGCCTGCTACGCCCATGCCGCCCTGGACGTGAGCTGCCCCGACTCCAGCCAGGGTCCTCAGCATGTCACCGCACCGCTGAACCTCGGGTGGCTCTGTGTGGTAGGGCTTTCTGCGTCCCACCAAGGGTCGGTGACGATGGTGCGCTGGGAGTGGTGACCATCCCGACGCCTCCCGGGACCTGTACGCCCTGCATGCCCAAGCTGGCCAGGCAAGGTCCCCCATGTGTCAGACAGAGCTGGGGTCACCTCTGACTCCGTGCAGAGCCTGCCAGGACTTGGTCAGGGCTGCAGCTCACCTCATCGGCCGGGTGTGCTCAGGTGGCCTTTGCTCCCCAGGTGCCCCTGGGCCCCGAGTGCTCTCGAGCTGTCATGAAGCTGGTCTACTGCGCTCACTGCCTGGGGGTCCCCGGTGCCCGGCCCTGCCCCGACTATTGCCGAAACGTGCTGAAGGGCTGCCTGGCCAACCAGGCAGACCTGGACGCCGAATGGAGGAACCTTCTAGGTGAGCCCCTGCCTGGCCTTGGGAGCTCTCCACTGTGGACCTGGAAGGCAGGTGGTCCCTGCTCAGTAGGGAGACCCAGGGCCAGATCTGGGTGGGAGTGTGGGGTTGAGTGTTCCGATTGACCTGGGGGGATACTGTGGGGTTGTAGTTCCTTGTCCTGCCCCACTGAGCAGCCTCCAGCACATGCATGAGCTACGTATAGGCTCTGACACATGGGAGCTGGCACACACACAGGCCGCCGGCAGGTACGTGTGCTGTCACGTGTGTCTCTACACCCACGTGCTGCCGTCAGTGGGTGACCCAGGATGCCCATGTCCATCTGCTGGCATGTGAGTCAGCACACACACCCACACACGTCAGCCTGCAAGAGCAAGGCGGGCGTCCAGTGGGTGGGCAAGGTGCCCACACCGTGGGCATCACATGCAGTGCGCATGCCTACGTGCTGACGCCTGTGACATCACGATGTGAGGCAGAAACTGACCCAACGTGTAAGCTCTCAGTGCACACGGCTTGCACAGGTGGGCGCGTGTGGATGAGGTGGGCCCAGGGACCACAGATGTCCTCTGTGGGCATGAGCTTGTGCCCTGGGTGGGCTGTGGGTGTGTGCCTGCTGAGTGCTGGGCCCCACGGGGAGCAAGCCCCTGGAGCCCTGCTGTGGACCTGCACTGACCCCTGCCTGGCGTGTCTGTGTGGGTCAACATCTGTCCAGACTCCATGGTCCTCGTCACTGACAAGTTCTGGGGCCCGTCGGGAGCAGAGAGCGTCATTGGCAGTGTGCACATGTGGCTGGCAGAGGCCATCAGCGCCCTCCAGGACAACAAGGACACACTGACGGCCAAGGTTCG